CTTACGTGATCTTACGAGAACCGGTGTTTCAATATGATATGGCCGTAAGCCTATTCCACTACGAGGACATCTGAGATAAGAGCGCCTGGTATTCCTAAATGGTCACCCATCTAGGTGCTAAACAGGTTTGTCGTTGCTTAACTTTCGCGATCGTACGAGAATCGGTGTTTCAACTTTGACCGCAAACACATTACATCAATTTCACATCCAAGCTTCCAGTACCTAGTATACCTAAGTGGTCACCCATCTAGTTACTGACCAGGCTCGACGTTTGCTTAACTGCGGTGATCGTACAAGAAACGGTGTTTCAATGAGATATGGCCGTAGGAACATTACACCATGCGCACATCCAAGCTTACAGTACCTAGTATTTCCAAGCGTTCACCCATCTAGTTGCTGACAAGAGTCGGCGTTGCTTAACTTCGGTTGTCGTACGAGTACCGGATTTTCAACCTGATATGACCGTAAGCCCATTACAACACTCGGATATCGAAGGTCAGAGCAGCTGATATTCTCAAGCGGTAACTGACCTAGGTACTGACTAGTTTCAACGTTGCTTAACTTCGTATAAGTTTAACGTGATATAGCCGTAAGCCCATTACACTACTCGCACATTCAAGGTCAGAGCATCTGGTGTTCCCAAGCGATCACCCATCTAGTTGCTAACAAAGTTCGCCGTTGCTTAACTTTGGTCATCGTACGAGTAGCAGTGTTTGAACGTGATATAGCCGTAGGCCAATTCCACTATTCGCGCTTCCGAGGTCAGAGCCCTGGTATTCCCCAAGCGGTCACCCATCTAGGTGCTGACCAGGTTCGTCGTTGCTTAACTTTGGTCATCGTACGAGTACCGGTGTTTGAACGTGATATAGCCGTAAGCCCATTACACTACTCGCGCCTCCGAGGTCAGAGCCCCTGGTATTCCCAAGCGGTCACCCATCTAGGTGCTGACCAGGTTCGTCGTTGCTTAACTTTGGTCATCGTACGAGTACCGGTGTTTGAACGTGATATAGCCGTAAGCCCATTACACTACTCGCGCCTCCGAGGTCAGAGCCCCTGGTATTCCCAAGCGGTCACCCATCTAGGTGCTGACGAGGTTCGTCGTTGCTTAACTTTGGTCATCGTACGAGTACCAGTGTTTGAACGTGATATAGCCGTAAGCCCATTACACTAATCGCGCCTCCGAGGTCAGAGCCCGTGGTATTCCCAAGCGGTTACCCATCTAGGTGCTGACCAGGTTCGTCGTTGCTTAACTTTGGTCATCGTACGAGTACCGGTGTTTGAACGTGATATAGCCGTAAGCCCATTACACTACTCGCGCCTCCGAGGTCAGAGCCCCTGGTATTCCTAAGCGGTCACTCATCTAGGTGCTGACGAGGTTCGTCGTTTTAACTTTGGTCATCGTACGAGTAACGGTGTTTGAACGTGATATAGCCGTAAGCCCATTACACTACTCGCGCCTCCGAGGTCAGAGCCCCTGGTATTCCCAAGCGGTCACCCCTCTAGGTGCTGACCAGGTTCGTCGTTGCTTAACTTTGGTCATCGTACGAGTACCGGTGTTTGAACGTGATATAGCCGTAAGCCCATTACACTACTCGCGCCTCGAGGTCAGAGCCCTGGTATTCCCAAGCGGTCACCCCTCTAGGTGCTGACCAGGTTCGTCGTTGCTTAACTTTGGTCATCGTACGAGTACAGGTGTTTGAACGTGATATAGCCGTAAGCCCATTACACTACTCGCACATTCAAGGTCAGAGCCCCTGGTATTCCCAAGCGGTCACCCATCTAGGTGCTGACCAGGTTCGTCGTTGCTTAACTTTGGTCATCGTACGAGTACCGGTGTTTGAACGTGATATAGCCGTAAGCCCATTACACTACTCGCGCCTCGAGGTCAGAGCCCTGGTATTCCCAAGCGGTCACCCATCTAGGTGCTGACCAGGTTCGTCGTTGCTTAACTTTGGTCATCGTACGAGTACCGGTGTTTGAACGTGATATAGCCGTAAGCCCATTACACTACTCGCGCCTCCGAGGTCAGAGCCCCTGGTATTCCCAAGCGGTCACCCATCTAGGTGCTGACGAGGTTCGTCGTTGCTTAACTTTGGTCATCGTACGAGTACCGGTGTTTGAACGTGATATAGCCGTAAGCCCATTACACTACTCGCGCCTCCGAGGTCAGAGCCCCTGGTATTCCCAAGTGGTTACCCATCTAGGTGCTGACCAGGTTCGTCGTTGCTTAACTTTGGTCATCGTACGAGTACCGGTGTTTGAACGTGATATAGCCGTAAGCCCATTACACTACTCGCGCCTCCGAGGTCAGAGCCCCTGGTATTCCTAAGCGGTCACCCATCTAGGTGCTGACCAGGTTCGTCGTTGCTTAACTTTGGTCATCGTACGAGTACCGGTGTTTGAACGTGATATAGCCGTAAGCCCATTACACTACTCGCGCCTCCGAGGTCAGAGCCCCTGGTATTCCCAAGCGTTCACCCATCTAGGTGCTGACCAGGTTCGTCGTTGCTTAACTTTGGTCATCGTACGAGTACCGGTGTTTGAACGTGATATAGCCGTAAGCCCATTACACTACTCGCGCCTCCGAGGTCAGAGCCCTGGTATTCCCAAGCGGTCACCCCCTCTAGGTGCTGACCAGGTTCGTCGTTGCTTAACTTTGGTCATCGTATGAGTACAGGTGTTTGAACGTGATATAGCCGTAAGCCCATTACACTACTCGCACATTCAAGGTCAGAGCATCTGGTGTTCCCAAGCGATCACCCATCTAGTTGTTAACAAAGTTCGCCGTTGCTTAACTTTGGTCATCGTACGAGTAGCAGTGTTTGAACGTGATATAGCCGTAGGCCAATTCCACTATTCGCGCTTCCGAGGTCAGAGCCCTGGTATTCCCAAGCGGTGTTGTTAACTTTGGTCATCGTACGAGTACCGGTGTTTGAACGTGATATAGCCGTAAGCCCATTACACTACTCGCGCCTCCGAGGTCAGAGCCCTGGTATTCCCAAGCGGTCACCCATCTAGGTGCTGACCAGGTTCGTCGTTGCTTAACTTTTGGTCATCGTACGAGTACAGGTGTTTGAACGTGATATAGCCGTAAGCCCATTACACTACTCGCACATTCAAGGTCAGAGCATCTGATGTTCCCAAGCGATCACCCATCTAGTTGCTAACAAAGTTCGCCGTTGCTTAACTTTGGTCATCGTACGAGTAGCAGTGTTTGAACGTGATATAGCCGTAGGCCAATTCCACTATTCGCTTCCGAGGTCAGAGCCCTGGTATTCCCAAGCGGTCACCCATCTAGGTGCTGACCAGGTTCGTCGTTGCTTAACTTTGGTCATCGTACGAGTACAGGTGTTTGAACGTGATATAGCCGTAAGCCCATTACACTACTCGCACATTCAAGGTCAGAGCATCTGGTGTTCCCAAGCGATCACCCATCTAGTTGCTAACAAAGTTCGCCGTTGCTTAACTTTGGTCATCCTACGAGTAGCAGTGTTTGAACGTGATATAGCCGTAGGCCAATTCCACTATTCGCGCTTCCGAGGTCAGAGCCCCTGGTATTCCCAAGCGGTGTTGCTTAACTTTGGTCATCGTACGAGTACCGGTGTTTGAACGTGATATAGCCGTAAGCCCATTACACTACTCGCGCCTCCGAGGTCAGAGCCCCTGGTATTCCCAAGCGGTCACCCATCTAGGTGCTGACCAGGTTCGTCGTTGCTTAACTTTGGTCATCGTACGAGTACAGGTGTTTGAACGTGATATAGCCGTAAGCCCATTACACTACTCGCACATTCAAGGTCAGAGCATCTGATGTTCCCAAGCGATCACCCATCTAGTTGCTAACAAAGTTCGCCGTTGCTTAACTTTGGTCATCGTACGAGTAGCAGTGTTTGAACGTGATATAGCCGTAGGCCAATTCCACTATTCGCGCTTCCGAGGTCAGAGCCCCTGGTATTCCCAAGCGGTCACCCATCTAGGTGCTGACCAGGTTCGTCGTTGCTTAACTTTGGTCATCGTACGAGTACAGGTGTTTGAACGTGATATAGCCGTAAGCCCATTACACTACTCGCACATTCAAGGTCAGAGCATCTGATGTTCCCAAGCGATCACCCATCTAGTTGCTAACAAAGTTCGCCGTTGCTTAACTTTGGTCATCGTACGAGTAGCAGTGTTTGAACGTGATATAGCCGTAGGCCAATTCCACTATTCGCGCTTCCGAGGTCAGAGCCCCTGGTATTCCCAAGCGGTCACCCATCTAGGTGCTGACCAGGTTCGTCGTTGCTTAACTTTGGTCATCGTACGAGTACCGGTGTTTGAACGTGATATAGCCGTAAGCCCATTACGCCATTCGCACATCCAAGCTTACAGCACTTGGTATTCCCAAGCGGTCACCCATCTAGTTACTAACCAGGCTCGACGTTTGCTTAACTCTGATGGTTGTACGATTACCGGTGTTTCAACGCGATATGGTCGTAAACCAAGAAGAAGAAGAGGAAGAAGTAAAGGTGGAGAGATAATTAGGAAAGAATGAGGATGGAAAAGAAACAGATGAAGAGGAAAAGGAGAGAAAAGGCATCAGAGAAAATACGGAAGGGCGAAAGAAGAAAAAAAAAAAGGATGAAAGATACAGAACCCAAAATGAAAAAGAAAAAGAGAATCTCTGACACTAAAATCACTATAAAAAAAAACACAAAGAAACTAAAGAGAAATTTAATAAACCAATGTAATTAGAGCCGTCCAAATGGCTTCACCGACCCTTGGCGCGTGAAGAAAAGGCCAATTTTCATCCGTGGGCGGATAAATTTGAATGGAACCGTGGATCGGCGCTGTCGTTGGGCAAACCAACGAGATTTTAGTGATAAAGATTTTGTAAACATCGCAATTTAATATGATTGTCTTCGTAAGAATGAGGCGATGGGAGATAAAGATGGCGACGCTAAGGTCAGCCGATGGAAATGCCATTACTGCAGATAATAGTTAAAATTAATCGGTTATAAGAGCCTGGATGGATGGACAGTGAACTCGATAGGAAAACTGAATCATAGCAGCTTCCTATATATATATATATATATATATATATATATATATATATATATATATATATATATATATATATATATATATAACAAATTCATAAATGATTATATTGGTTAAACTATCTAGACGGCTCACGTTACACCTATCAGGCTATAGCTTAATTAGGATTCATTTAAATGCACAAGGAGACTAAGCAAACTTCATCCCTAACATACTAGTAGAAAATACAAGTATAATAACCTCATCTAGATGTAAAAAAAAAAAAAACTATTTAAAATAATGAAAGCACTAATAATAAAAGAAGATAAAGCCATGAATTTAGCTATGAACACGGCCACAACGTGCTGACCGTGTCTGGAAAATAAAACATTTCTATCATTTCAGATATATACATAAAAAAATAACACACATAAAAAAAAACACATTCAGTTAAAAATAAAAAATAAAATAAAATCGTCCTTGAAAATGTTTAAAAAATAATCGAAAATGCCCGGATAGGAAGAGCTTTTGCTCAGTTTTGCACACTTTGTGTCCAAAAATGTACAAACATAAGAAAAATTGAATAGAAAGCTTAATCGTGTCTTCTCAATCGTCTTTAGCGAAACTCGTATAAAAGAGGGATTTCTGCCGCAATTCACAATATATATATATATATATATATATATATATGAAACCTGTCGTGTAATGGATTGGGGTTGTTGTAACTTCTTCCTTTAATGTCGTTCTTATCATTCACCCCTTAGCCATCTATATCTAGAGACGAGACGCGTTAAATTTGAAATGATACATATGACACACTCATATCTCTCCCACCTCATTTCCTCACTTGTTAACTTTGCGTATACTTGATGAGGTCCGTAAAAAACGTGTGAATTTCTTTTTCATTTTTTCATTTCAGCTTTTGGAAGTAAAGTCTGATGATCCAGAACCCTGTTAAAGGGGTTATGGTGAAATAGCTTATTACATGGAATCGTGGTCTGTCTTTTATTCAAACATATCTGCTCTGAATTTTACATTGAGCTCTCTGGATATCATCCTCCTCAGGTCTACCCATACGGATTACCTAAGTTTGCATAAACTATATATATATATATATATATATATATATAAGCGATAGGGAGATCTAAAAGCTCAGTCAATCTAACAGTGATCTCATCTCACAATGCTCACAGTTGCTTCATATGTGGCTTTCTTTGTAAAGCAATAACGGGTCTTAAATGCCACTTAAGATTATCGCACAAAATTTCATAACTGAATCAATAAGCTGTCAGATCCTCATATGTCGAAACCAAGACATTATATATATATATATATATATATATATATATATATATATATATATATATATATATATCCATTTTATTATATGTTGTCAATGTTTACGATAAGGTACGTTTCATAAGAAGATATGATCGAACGAGAAAAATCGTCAAAGACTTGTTAACAGTAATTTGGACTTTGCTAACCAGGCTCTTCTCTGTAGCTAAATGGTATAGCACGTCAGATGAAATGACGTTTTCCGTATAAGAATACAAGCTTGGACATGCATGCTGGTAAATGTAATTAATTCTGTTTAATTAAAAATGGAGCATTTATTTAAATAAATTGTATCTATAAAAATAACGTATAAGCAGAAAATATATTAAATAATTGTCGGACTTAATCCATTTCATTATACACACACGCAAATACACACTCACACACACACACACACATATATATATATATATATATATATATATATGATTAATACATTAATTTATAGTGTGTTAATGTGTACACTTATGTATATGCTCACGCCTTTATGCGTGCGTATGCATGCATGTATAGAATGTCGTGGCTATTTCGCCTTTTCATCGTTTTTCTTATTTTCTAATAATCTCTCATTCGTTTTCCTTATATTTCCTCTCTTTCGGCTCCAAATTCAACAATCCAGAAATTTAATTAATATATCTATATAAATTACGTTACGGTTCACTAGAGAGAATATATATATATATATATATATATATATATATATATATATATATATATATATATAAAGTCATTATACAGTTACTTCCAATAACAGTTAAGTCAAAAAATATTAATCAACAATCCAGAAAATTAGGTTGGTGCAAAAATAATGACTTAAGAATGTCGTTTTTTGACGTTAAAAAATACGTCAAAAAACGACATTATTACGTCATTATTTTTGCACCAACCTAATATATTATTAAAATATTTCTGGTTAATTCTGGTTAATAATAATAAAATGCTATAGTAAACAATTAAATGCTATGGTAAACAATACTACAGTGTAACCCGGATATAAGAGAGTTGTCGGGACCGGAGAAGAAATCTCTTATATCCGGGTTTCTCTTATATCCGGGTTTGGTCTATTATATATACATAACACAGGCTCTAATTTGGGACCAGAGAAAATCTCTCTTATATCCGGGTTTCTCTTATATCCGGGTTACACTGTAAATTAATTACCGAGGCGGTTTGAAATGCAATAAATAAATTGAATGCCAACATTATTTGAACAGCAAGTAAACCTGCTTCAATGCTTTTCTTTTTCATTATAAGGAATTGTATAGTGACTTTATGGCCACCCTATACACATACACACACACACACACACACATATATATATATATATATATATATATAAGGAAATTATAGAAAATTTCTGTATTTCCTTACTCCTAAAAATGTAAAGACATAAAGATGCTAGAAAAACTAAAAAAATTAATTAAATCTTTCTTTTCTGGCATATTTCATGAACAATGTTTAAAAGAAAAGTTGCTGCCTGAATATGCATTTATATATATATATATATATATATATATATATATATATATATATATATGTGTGTGTGTGTGTGTGTGTGTGTGTGTGTGTGTGTGTGTGTTTGTGTGTGTGTGACAATAAAGTCACTATACAGTTACAATACCTGGAACCCCAACAGGTGCTACCACCTCGGGTCAGCAATTAAGAGGTGGTTCCACGTTTCTCAAAATCTCCTGATCAGAGGCCTTGCTGTTGGATGTAGTTTATCGTTTTACCCAGAACGGATTATTGTTCATGGATATGACTATGCGTCAGTGGACAAGTCAGAACGGAAAGAAACAAACAAATATTTAGATAAATGTTATTTTCTTCATGAAATTAGGTGAGCCATTCAGAAAGACAATCGAGCCGCATGTAGCCCGCGAGCCACTCAGAAAGTCAATTGGGCCGCAAGTGGGCCGCGAGCCATTCAGAATGCAAATTGGGCCGCATGTGGCCCGTTATTCATTCAGAAAGTCAATTGGGCCGCAAGAGGGCCTCGAGCGATTCAGAATGCCAATCGGGCTGCAAATGACCCTGGAGCCATTCAGAATACCAGGTCAGGCCGCATGTGGCTGGTTAGCCATTCAGAATGCCAATCGGGCTGCAAATGACCCTGAAGCCATTCAGAATACCAGGTCAGGCGGCATGTGGCCCGTTAGCCATTCAGAATGCCAATTGGGCTGTAAATGACCCTGGAGCCATTCAGAATACCAGGTCAGGCCGCATGTGGCCCGTTAGACATTCAGAATGCCAATCGGGCTGCAAATGACCCTGGAGCCATTCAGAATACCAGGTCAGGCAGCATGTGGCCCGTTAGCCATTCAGAATGCCAATCGGGCTGCAAATGACCATGGCGCCATTCAGAATACCAGGTCAGGCCGCATGTGGCCCGTTAGCCATTCAGAATGCCAATCGGACTGCAAATGACCCTGGAGCCATTCAAAATACCAGGTCAGGCCGCATGTTGCCCGTTAGCCATTCAGAATGCCAATCGGGCTGCAAATGACCCTGGAGCCATTCAGAATACCAGGTCAGGCCGCATGTGGCCCGTTAGCCATTCAGAATGCCAATTGGGCTGCAAATGACCCTGGAGCCATTCAGAATACCAGGTCAGGCCACATGTGGCCCGTTAGCCATTCAGAATGCCAATCGGGCTGCAAATGACCCTAGAGCCATTCAGAATACCAGGTCAGGCCGCATGTGGCCCGTTAGCCATTCAGAATGCCAATCGGGCTGCAAATGATCCTGGAGCCATTCAGAATACCAGGTCAGGATGTGGCCCGTTAGCCATTCAGAATGCCAATCGGGCTGCAAATGACCCTGGAGCCATTCAGAATACCAGGTCAGACCGCATGTGGCCCGTTAGCCATTCAGAATGCTAGTCGGGCCGCATGTAGACCGTTAACAATTCAGAATGCCAATCGGGCGCGCGGGCTGCAGTTTGCTCACGACTGGTTTAAAGTGTTAAAATATATATAATTTTACGATTCGGAATAATGGCCTTAGATGTATCTTTTAAATTTACAGGAAGCATTCTCTGTGTTATTTTCCTAGATTTCTGACTTTATCTTATATTTTGGAATTTCAGAATAATATATTTGGATAATTTCTCATTCTGCTCT